TATATTCATTTATTGGAGAATTAGGGTGACATGCACGGAATCCGTTTAAGCTAAACTAATCTGATCTCACAATGGTCCCCTATGGGAATCAGTTTACCAAGATAAACGTTATTCGATGAATAAAATATTTAACTTTAACTTTAACTTTAAACTGATTCGTTCTCACCATGCTTCTACCTGTAATGGGTATCTATGGGAATCTCACCATTGTGAGATCAGATTAGTTTAGCTTAAACGGATTCGGAACATGTCACTCTTAATCTGTCGACCTTTTCATCGAATCAACTTTGTGGCCCTTGCATGGACAGTTTGGGAAACCGTTCCGGTCGAAACTTCGTCGATGAACGATGCTCATTCGTACCTCGTCGTAAGATCGATGGTTGCCCTCGCGTATTTATGCCATGCCTAGTCACGATATGAGACTTGGTAAGAGATTGGGATCCGAATGCCGTAATTTGTCACCCCTCCTTTCTCTACGATCGAACTCGGCCATAACGACCTAGGTCATAAGGTCCAACGGGTCTTTGTCTCGGCGCGAAGCCGTATCGCTTTTGGCGAGCTCATTTATTGCATGAACTTCGCCATAACCAAAATAAATTTTTGTGCCACTGATAAATTGACCTTTTTTTTAAGTTTGTTATTCGGAGCATGACGACGAATGAAAATTGCAGTGTTAGGGGTTTTCCATCATCGTTGTATCCAACAATTTTTTTTCTAGGAGCGGCATTTACTGAGGTGCCAGGAAGTTCACACGAGTGGGCAGCGTGATAAATCACTCTTTTACTCTTCTTTTAATGTTTACAATTATTGTTGACTCGAGGCGTCTGAAAAACGAAAAAGGCAAGCCTTCCATTAAATCGATCATGAGATCGATTTAATGGACTCGTTTTTAATTCATTTGATCGAAAGTGAGTTAATACATGGAATTCCGAGCTGACTGAGAAAACTGGCAAATGCGTAGATCCCTTTGTTTTTATCGCTCTGTTCCACCCAAAAGCGCAAATCTGAACGCCCTGAACGCCCTTTGTGAGTCATGCGGTGCAGGATTGCCCCCACCAGTCGAGGGAGGAGAGTGCACGTGTCTGGTTGTCTCACGCGCCTCGCTCTCTTCGCTTCCAGCGCTTGGAGAACTCACACTGAAGTCGTCCAGGTGATCCGGCTGCGTCTGCTGCATGGAGGTTGTGGCCACTCGCTGTCTGCTTCTGCCTCGTCCTGCCTACGAGATGGCGTCGATGTAAGTGGATATTTACTATTTAATATAATAGTGAGGTAATTTCGCTGTTTCCGTGTAGATGGGATGCGGTGTGTCTCGGACTAATGACGTCAACCCTTGTCACGCGAACGGTAAGCACAATAACCATGTAGCTTATTTTTTTATTGGAGAAAAAGTTTAGCTTAATCGTCAGAATATTCGTGCGACTGTATTTGTGTCAGGGTGAAGATATGAGAAAATAAGGGGTGGCTAAATGTCTCGAATACTATTATTTCGAAGTCTTACACATCTTTATTTTTTATTTTGAGCAAAAACTTCCATAGCGAGTAGAAAATTCTGAAAATGTAGATTATATGATGAAACTGTTAACCGGATGAGAAAGATTTCTTTAAAGTACTTGGCCGAAGAAAGGCCGAAAAACAGTCCACAATTTTTTATTAATCGCCAAGCGGCGTAAAATGGTAACAGGAAAAAAATTGTTACAGGTCACGCACGGATTGATACAGGTAGGAAATATCAACAAGGATAGAGGCATAGAGGATTATTTTTGTCAGAAGAACTGGTTGAAGACAAGGACTTTATTAAATACTTTGTTCGCCCCTTTAGGAAACCGTCGAAGGGTGGAGAAAAAGAATTCACGTTGCTTCAAAAAGGACAATGCTGCAGCGATGAAAGATGAACTTCATGCACTGATTCTGATATTGTTCCTTCATCGTGTGAAATTCGTTGTTGAAAGTGTGTTGCATGTGCTGCAAAGAACCCAAATATTCCTCTGTGCCCGTCATTCCGAGAGGATCGAAGGATCGGGTCCAGGTTCGAGGCCCAACTTTTGCGTCATTGACCATGAAAGTGGCCACGGTCGATCGCAGTCGTCACAGCTAGTCCGCACGCGTAGCAAAGTATCGTAGGCGGTGAAAATATATTTCGCACAAATTTTCATTGAATGGGCAAGGGGGAAGAAGACAGAGGTATGTTTAATTAACGTCTGCCAAAAATGTAATGCACAAGCATGGTGAAAATTTTAAAGTGTGAAATAAATAAGGCCGACTCCAATTCCTTAGTTCTCGTGTCGCAATTTAACGTGAAATTAGTGATGTTTTGAACCTTTATGGAACCTTTATGGAACTTACCCTTTTGAAGATGGATGTAGTTTGACGTGGACGTGAAGTTCGCGTTCGACAAGGAGTAATCAACTTCACGCGAAAGAGAGGAAAATTCAGGCATGCAATAAGTTCGTGGTTGCTAGGGGTAGGTGAACGACGCAATTATGATATTACAGCACTTTGACGTCACCTGATTTTTTTTATCATAGACTTGGCGCTTTCTTGCATATATACAGGGTGTCTCAAAAAATGTATACACACTTTGATGACCACTAATTCATACATTTTTTGTTTTTCAGGAAAAATTATTAATATAAACATGGGTGATGTACGCTTGACGTTTGAGCAACGCAAATTAGTATTGAAGTGGTATTGGAAATTTGAGAATGCATGTGATAACCACATGATTCTTTACATTTTTTATCAAAGTGTGTATACATTTTTTTTGAGACATCCTGTATTTCTCTCTTGTCTCTCCAATTTCATCATCTTGAATTGTGAGGCATACACGTCGAATGGCACCTTACGATTGACACGATCTTGTCTTCCTAGAAAGAAAAAGGTCTGGGCACAGGATTCGACGGCATCGAAAAGTACAGTGTGTTTGGTAGGAACCTTTGGAGTTAATAAAATTTAATGCAAAGTGTTTGCAACCTAAAAAGGTCGGGAATATTGCCAAATGAATAGGTAAACGACCATGGATGAAGTCGGTGGAGTCACTAAATCTCACCCGAGCGATAAAAGGGGAGAAAATTATTGCCTTCAAGGCGGTGACACCCACACACCCCCCCGGAAAATACCAAGATACATAGACTATCAGATAGGCTCGAGTGGCTCACGCGCCTAGCGGCCGAGGAGGGAGCGCAGTCACTTGAGGCACGTGAATGTGCGTGTAGTGACGTCACATCTGGGATATGATTCGCCTTATTGTCCGCTGCTTTTACCCATTTTTATTTTGCTTTCAAAGGATGAAGCTGATGTGTAAAAGAGCAGTCGAGTAGAATATCCACACAACGAATGAAAAGCTACGAAGAAAGGAAAGGCCTAAACAGAAATGAGAATCATGTATATAGCCTCGGGTCTGCAGCGCAGTCAGAGACAAGAAACAGCGAAAACCAGACGTAGCTACCTCGGCGAGGGCTCAAAAGGGAATGAGTGGAATAGGCGTAGTCACGGCCTTTTATAGCGCAGTCACTTTAACGGCAGGTGAAAAAAGCCTTCACGCACCTAGCCACTCTGGAGGGCCTTGGGAATGACCAATAGGATAGGGAACTCACAGAACATTGAGGCGGACGGAGTGAGGAAGGAGAATAAACAGAAATAGGGGGGCAGTCTCGTCTGGCTCTTTTTATGCTCCAAGGTCCCGCTTGTACCTTGTCCTACTCGGCAATCCGAAGCCTATGGAGGGAGGAAATGGCACACTTTGAAAGAAGACAAACGAGGGGAAACAACCGGTATTGCTCACTGGCTGTGCGTTCAACGGTTTGAGAAACACCTCAACCTACTGCGGGGGCGGGCAAAGTGCAAAATTCACGTGAAGTCCGTGTTAGACAATGGGGAGATATCCCGGCAACCGAGTTTCCGCCTGCGTTTTTTTTATTAATTACCCTTTAAGTAGATGAGTAATGGCAGCCATGAGAAAAGAGCCGAAACCTCGTCTTTTGTTTTTAATAGGTGATATTAGGACGTTTCATTAAACCCACATTTTATGGTGATGGTATACCCTATCTCTTGCGAGAGTTAATTAAGGAAAAGATACCTATGCCCGGGATTTCCAGGTGCCAGCTGTCCAGGGGACATCGTCAAGCCAGTTGATAAACTGGCTTGAATGCAAACATTGATCTCAACTTCAATGGTATCCGAGCACCTAGATAGTCCCATCACTACTGAGACGGCAGAGAGAGAGAGAGTGCAGAATAAGGGGAGCACAACCCGAGAAATGGTGTCTGGTGTCTGTCTGGCTCTGCCCTTTATGTCCCTCAAGGCAATGTTAGCCCCCGCCCCCCAAACAAGGAAGACCATCCCATATCGTACCTACAAGTCAGTCTCGCTCTAACCGGCGGAAACGGCCTATTCGGCTGAGCGTCCTTGTGCCGTCCTTGTTCGATTCCCCAACCACGCCCTACCCAGGTGTCATTATTTGGGTACACACCCGATCCCCGGATTCTTAGGCGATCGGTTCCCGGTTAGAAAAGGGATCAATGAAGGTGAGGGGAAATAATGCACTGCGCATTATTTATTCATCCACAAATAATGTTTTTAGATAATTTGTAACTGAAAACTCAAGGTTTCATTTTAGGCTTGTGAGAGACTCGACCGGTTCATCGGAAGGGGAAAAATAGGTCACACCACGGTTTTTTATTATTATAAATTATCAAATATATACAGGGTGGGCCAAATAAAAAAAAAAAACAAAGGAGTACGCTGAATTTCAACTTTCTCCCTGTAAAACCATAGAATCTGTAATTACTTTCTCGTGACCCACACCAAAATGTGCTGTCGAAAATATCGTTATGGACTTGATTTGCCGAGAGCCATTGATGCGTGGCGTATGAGACCAGCGGTTTGTGTTCAACGAAATGAAAATGTCTAGTTGAAATGAAACTTCATGAACCAAAGTGTGTCCGTTCGTTTTTGGCATTTGTGAATGTTGTTTTCGTTCCATAATTTCGCTTGTTTTTTCTTCAGTTGTGAGGAATTTTACGCTTGAAGGAAAAAAAAAAATTAAACACCTACTTTTTTTTGTGGCAAATTTGGTAAATTAAAAACCATGTTCATACTTTTCGGAATTTTGATAAGAACCGGCAGCCTATAATCAAATGGACAACTCACCGAATATGATAACTTTTTTTTTTCTGGTTAGAAGAAAAAGTGCCAAAAAACTTGAGCCTCTCATAATATTGGATGGAGAAATTTAAGAAAATAAACTGACCTTTTTTTTTTGACACATCCAATCACCAGATGAAAATCCACGTAATTGTTTCGTGTCGAGATAGGGATTCCTTTAGGATTGCATGCATCTCCATAGTAATTTCTCTGTCTGGAATAAAAAATTATAGTAAAAATTATACATTTCAGTCTATGTTCATCAAGTGAACACCGGAAACCTCTCCACATCCTTAATTGAATAGAACGCAATTAGTGAAAATTAGTGAAGAAACAACGTGGAAGAATGATATTGAATGTTCCCATCTAGAAATCTAGATCGTCGGTCCAATTCCGTTTTCGACGGTCAAAAAATCAACTAGCTGATATTGCAGAGAATATTTTGCGATATGACCTTTAGTTTAGAAGGAAACCTTCAATATCATTCCTCGATGTTTCTTTACCGCTATATGACAGGGAATTTTACGGAGGGCTTCAAAACTCTGAAACAATGACGACTGCCTTCCCGGAATCACCGTTTGATCTGGAAGATAATTATTTACAGAATATTCATCAGAATATTCATCAGTAATAATCAGCAGTACTTGACTGCCGATACCTCGCAATGAACACAATTACATCCGATGTTGATTACGCCATAATCTGTGGATTAGAGCGTTGCACATCTCCAATGCAATATCGAGCTTCGATGCAAGTTTTACGACTTTATGAGTGCCCCCTCCCTGTTCATCGGCCCTCGCATCTTTTTCGTTCTTGAATATTTTTTCTATCTCGGCACACATATGTGGGAAGGATTAAGGGAAAAATAAATAGGTTTATTAAGGGCGTTCGGAATGAAATTAAATGCTTCAATATGGGATTGGAAAAGATAAAGACTTGAAGAAGGACTAGACTCGCAAATCACTAATGTAGTTGTAGACATTTACCTTGGCTCCAAGCTTCTTTGCCTTTTCTGAAGTGTTTCTCTATTATATATATATATATATATATTTCACGAAATGGGTTTCCGATCCAGAGTTTTATTTTACTTACTTATGACTCGCTCCTTCATGTAATTCTTTTCAACTGCACGTGCTTTGTTACAGGGAGTCCCTCTTTTCATCTCAGCTACAAGACTTTCTGACATTTTGATCTTTTCAGAACCAGGGACCTCGATATCGAACGGCCTGCAGTCGGCTACTCCCAAGCAACAGATTTCACAAAGGAGCCGACAGGCACGATGTTTTTCTCACAGTAGAATTTCAGCGATTTCCTCCGTTACTCCCCAAGAAATCCGTCCGGTAAAAAAAAAATGACAAACGGACCCGAATCGGATATCTCATCAGTCCTGTCTCCTCCACCGTCCCGACGGCGAACGTAGGTGTTGGCCCTGTCGTCCCGACGGCGAACGCAGGTGTTGGCCCTGGCGTCCCTTGGCATGGGGAAGGGATGCGAATCCGGAAGGACAAGCCTGTCCGTTTGGAAATTTCGTCCCATCCTATTGTTCTCGGGAGATGCACGAAGGGTGCACCGGTTTTCATAGGTGCAGTGCATTGGTCAACTGAACGAAGAAATAAAAACCGTTAAATGATTTAATTGTAGAGTGGTTGATGCCTGCACAAAAATCGAGGCGATTTCCACCTTCCATGTTTACGATTCAAAAACGTGAGCGTTTTTCACTCCCATCAATTTATAATAAAAAAAAAGATAAATTATCAAGGCAAGAATATCAACTGTGCAAACTGAGGTGGTAGAAGAAAATGGATTGTCACGGTACATTTATCTCACCTCCAACCGTTTCCAAGCACTGGATAGTTCACCACTAGACGACAGGAGCAGGGAGGAGTTCAACCCAAGAAATGGAAGGTCTGCGTCTGTCTGGCTTTGCTCTTCTCCCCCCAAGGCATAGTCTCCCTCCTGGGGCAAGGAAGACTATGTCACCCCATATCGTTCCTACAAGACAGCCTCGCTCTAACCGGCGGAAACGGCCTGTTCGGCAGAGCCATAGAGTGTATATAGATGGAGAGGCCTTCGCTGCCTCGAGAGTTACAAGTGCTTTCGCCATCTTGGGACGGAACCGTCCCAAGATTGAAGAAGCATAACGTGATTGGTTGGGTGGAGGTCCCCAGGCATATAACCCAGGGCAAGTTTGCCCTTGCCCTTTTGCCCTCCCCCTCTCCACGTGTCTGCTATGAAAAACCTCGTTCGTACGACTTCAGTTAGATGGCGGCCGCGCCATAGGGGAGGCCCCTCCATTATACACTCTCTATGGGCAGAGCGTCCTTGTGCCGTCCGGGAGGTTGGGGTTCGATTCCCCAACCACGCTTTACCCAGGCATCATTATTTGGGTACACACCTTCCCAGGGTTCATAGGCGCTCGGTTCCCGGTTGAAAGGTGTGGGAAATGATGCATTATGCATCTTTTTTTTAAAGCTTACATGTCAAAAATAGGGTTTCTCTTACTACTCCTATAATTACTCAATTACCGGACCTCCAAAACCGTAGTGGTCCTCCCATTCCACCCAATATGCATTGCAGAATTTCCTTTACTTGAGCTCAGATTATTCGACTGGTGTCTGGTGCAGAACGTCACAGACATCGAACCAGCGCACCGATCGCAAAGATCACGCGACGTCAAAATAATGCGAAGACGAAGGCTCAATTCATGTCAATTCATGTCAATTCGTGTCATGAATTGACGCTGACAGAGGCTCTTTTTCTGCGGAGGCCATTAACAGTATACAGAATTTCCCCCAACATTCCAGGTCCCTGATTTAATTAACAATATTGCTTTTTCAAAAGCATCAAACGATCAATCCTACATGATTTTTTCTTCACTTGCCTTGTAAAGATCGATTTGACCTTTGACACAGCTTGTAAGATGGTCACTTCTCCCCTCAAAAACTGTTCACTTCCCCTCTTCCTCATTTTGGGAAAAACAGTATGAAGATCCCTTCCACCTCGATCGAAGCCACACGTCTCCATCATGCCTCGCAAAGAATTCTTCCGATCCGAATCGACCCGCAAAAGACCGGTCGGTCTGGCTGCATCGCGGATCTGCCGGGGAATGGTCTCTCGAAAGCGGCTGGGTGAAGAACTCGTTTCCCCTATCGTTTCAAGAGACTACCAATAGTTTGAGAAACAGTCGGTAGATGTCACTCGATTCCCCGGGGGGGGGGGGTCCTTTCATTCCTGTCCCTCGAAGATTTGATGTGATCGGGAATTAGAGAAGCCTTTCGTCTGAAGGGAGAACGAGAATGGATCAGTTGCACTTGTAAGTAAAATCTTCAGGTTATAATGTAATAATGCTAGCATTATCACGGAAGACGCCGTTTGTTGCGATCACGTTGGTGCACGAACATTTTCGCACAAGCGCCTGGTAACAATAGGCGGCGGCAATTTGGTGGCTTGATTGAGTTTTGGTTTTCCAAATTCGATGACATCATCCGGCTGATAGCAAGAAACCAGAGATTACAACCAGCGACATCTGCCGCAAGACATGCGCCGCTTCAGTTAAGACCGAGGTGGCTCGCGTCCGCGACCGCGTCCACTCCGCAGTTCGATCCGCGACGGCGAGGAGGAAAGGCTAGCAATACTGTTTCTCTTTGAAAATAAAAATGCGGGGGTGGGGGAAAGATCAATTTTTCAAGGGAGAAGTGACCATCTGCTAGCGCCCTCAGTCAAAGATCAAATCGATCTTTGCAAGGGAAGCGAAAAAAATAAATAATGTGGACTTGATAGTTTTATGCAATTAAAAAAATGCAGCACCAATCGATAATTAGATAGGGACCTGGAATGTTGAGGGAAATTCACTTTACCTTCAGTGAACGCTCTGCAGAAAAAGAGCCTCTACGTCTGAGTCGGTTCATGGAAGAAAAATGAGGATGGAGGCGTAAACGAATAATGGCAAGACGACTGCGTGCTTTCCGGGATGGTCATGCTTTTTTTCCACCGGTTCATTCAGCAGAATATTTAAAAGAAAGCGCACATTTTTCCAATTTGACCGATTCCAATGACTCTGACAGTCCCTTTAATGTCCGTGGCCGTGACTGTCCTCCGATCTTTCTTTACTGAGCACCCTAACTAACTGGATCACCGCAAATGCAAGGGGTCGAATGGCTAAATTGGTTGCGGGTTGGTTTCCCGCTACGAGGAGCAGGGGTTCGAGGCGCGACCGAGCTAGACCTTTTTCCGATATAGGCACCGACGTGTTTGGGATAGAAAAATTCCCGTCTCGGCATGTAGAACGTCAGAGAACGTGGGGACGGCCAAATGCATATCCCAGAAGATATCACGGTAGTGAGGGGTGCGGGACCCACGGGACACCCACAGGGGACTCACGGGACACCCACAGAGACGGAACCGACATCGTCTGGAGAGATGCGGTAGAGGCGAGAATGAACGAGAATCATTCCTATTGGAGCGGTGCCGAATGCCTTCCAAATACGGTAGCTTCAAAGACACGTGAGGAAGCTTGTTTGCCCTTTCTCACAGTTGACTCTGTGTCTTACAGACATCGCTCCACAGACCCCGTGTTGAAAAAAAGCCATCGGATATCACCCAGCGATTTCACCCCCCATTCGACCCTTTCTAAAGGCCTTCAGCCATACGGAGACGGGGAGTGCGACGCGGGCGAGACGCCATGTACTCGACGTCGCCCTTCCCTCTGACCTCAGTCGCGTGTGCGTCGCCGTCTGGTGAGGGTCGATTCTCCCATAACATGCAGTGAACGTCGGAGTGGGACCGGGTCTGAGAAACAAAATATACGGCAACGAAATCTCCCGTCTCGACTCGGCCACCTTCCTCGAAAGGTCGGAGACGCAGTCGAGTCCTCGGATCATCCGATGACCGAACGTGAGAGTCTGTGTCTCCCGTGATTTGAAGAACGACCGAAAATATCCGTGCTCGAAAATCTCGTGATTGGAAGCTCGAAAAATAAATTTCGAGACCACGATGGGATGATACATTTCCATGAATGAAAATGTATTTATTGTTAAAAACGCAATGTGAATTAGACTCGTACTTTAGATCGTGCCATTTCAAACTCACATTCCAACAAGAGAACCAGCAATGGAATCCGGAGAACATCCAATGAGAATCCGGTCCGAGAAAAAATAAACTGGAATGAACAGATAGCGCAGCCAGACTGGCGGCCTCGGCCCTCCCCCCATTCTGGCACAGTCGAGCATGAACAAGTTTTCACACGCACAAGCACAGACTAGCGATATTCGTTCTGCACTCTCCGATCTATCCCTTCCTTGTGGAGACGTCACGCAAACCGTCGTGGCGCGGTTCTATGCTTCGTATCCCCAAGCATATGGTTGCTTGGATGTGACCCGTTCAGGGCAGAGCCCTTCAGTCGGTCGTGCTGTAATATGCAGGAAGTTCCTATAAGTATCCTCGACGATCTATATCCGAAAACCTGATCAGTCCCTGCCCGTCTGCCCGGCAAGAACAAGGAACAACTTATGCCGCTATAGGCATAACATCATTGGTCCTCACTGCTCCTATAAGCCTAACCGTGCTCGCGGACGTCCTATACGACAATGTCATAAGTATAGGCTTCAGGAAGGTTTCAATCATCTCGAACGAATGGTAAATTAGGTGGGGAAGTGATGAGATTCTCTGGGAGTCGATCATCTCTCTGAAGGGTATTTTTCTCAGCGAGCTTTGCGCTCAACATGAAAAAAAATTACTCGTGAAATGGGGTATTCAGGCAAATCAGCCAGGGAATACGGAATATATATCTTATTGTTACGTTTGAGTCCTGGGGACCAGCTAGCAAATCTTTTCAGGAGTAATTTCAACGTGAACTAGAGGGAGAAAAAGGAAGTTGAGGGCAAGCCCACCCTCTCGTCCCCCCCCCCCCCCTCCGTCCGGAGGGTGAGAAGAATGGGCATGTAATCTTGCTTATGCACACGAACCAGCAGCGCGATGGGGCCCCTTTCCTGCCCTCCAGCCAATGAGAGCCCTCCTCTCAATCGAGAAGAAAGCTCGGTTATCCCGGGCAATAACAGGCACACCTGACCTTTCATGAGCGATCTCAAAACATGAGCATCGAGATTAGTGATGGCATCGGGACGAAGGCAACAGTAGTACCAATTTTTGAATATAAGCAAGAAAATTGTCAATCAAACTTTATTTCATTCATTAACGTTAATGTGAACAAGTAAATGCCGGACACCGCAATGGTCTTCGATCTAAAACATGTGTAAATGTTATTCTCGAAGAACCGTATGTATCTTATTATGACACGCACTCAAAACCTTTAGAAAAATAGCAAAGGGAAGCGAGAATTGGATGAGTCATTTCTCTGTAAGGTTCTTGTAATAGATCCTAAGGTCATTCTTACTCGATACTTTTCTTTCTGCCGTAATAAATAATCCTTTCATCCGAGAACGAGGATCTTTAAGAAGCGTCATGCTTGAAGAAGAAGCTTCATACAGGATCTTTTGTCATGCCGGCGGCCGCATGTGTCCAGCCCGTGTCGCTAAACGCGATTGGCTGGGGGGCGGAATAGGAGCCCCATCGCGCTGCGGGTTTGTACATAAGCATCCAGGTTACACCTCGTCGACTCGTTGCAGGATGACAGGGAGGGGAGAAGAGGGAAAAGAGAACGAAGGAACGAGTCGAGGAAGGGCGAAGACA